TGTATAGCTGTATTTTTATTAGCATGAGATCATAATTCAGATGCTAGTTTTCAACTGGAACAGTACATTTAGTTTTTAATTTTAATTAACAGAAGAAAAATCAACTGAACTAAAAATGAAATGACCACTAAACTTCAAAAAAATGTGTCCTTACTATAAAGGATGTTAGTTCCAAAAGCACTCCTCTAAGATAAAGAAACAAGGATTGTGAAGCCTTCAGTAAGATATGCTATTTATTTTTCTTTTTTTTAGTGAAGCAGAGCATAAGTTTCATTTGAATGCACTCCAAGGGAAGAGTGGGCCAGAGTCAAGGTAGACAAAGGCCCTGATATGTTACTCTTAAAAATCTGTTTAAAAACTTCACGTAGTGTGGATTGACTTGCCTGCTATGAAAAATAAGGGAAAGTGCATCTCATTCTCCTATAACTTCTGTTTTTGCTACTTATGTTATTTTTACTTTGTCAGGGTTTTGTTACATTTACATTCTACTTCCAAATCTCAATTCTTTTGTTTTCAGTCTTGGTTCTATAACTAAACGGATCAAATGCTTAAACAGATCAAATTCTTATCCCTCATGGCTTCATTCCTAAATTCCTTCATTCCCAAATTGATTCCTCATTTGGTACGCCAGAGTTCACCATGGAATAGTTTGTCTTGGGTATTGCATTCCCTGAAATCTTTTCATGACAAAATGAATCACCTTGTGGATACTGCTCTGAGGAAGTTTGAAACCAGCTTGATTCTGTCCTCTTGAAGGGGATTATTTCCTTTTTATATGTGACACTGAAGAGTTTTAAAAATGGGAAAAAACAATGACAGCTTAGCTATGAGGAATGACGTGGCTTTGTCAAGGCCCTATCATAGTGGGCCACAGCTCACTGGAACCCAGGACTTGTATCTACATCTGTCTCTGAGGCCTGCGCTCTTCCATCCCTCTGCATGATGATGCTTCTATCTTGCAAAATACAACTGGGGACATCAGGAAACTTTGGAAAAGGTCACTTAGCCTCATTGGGCTGCAACCTCCTCTTTTGTAAAATGAAAGAGCTGGACCCTGTCAGTAGTTCCCAGATTTGAATGTTTTTTAGAAACTAGAGATGCATAGGGGCCTGACAAAATTGCTAACTAAGCATGGGTACTAAAAAATAAACACCATCTGCTACCACCACTGTTTCATAAAGGACACTTTTATAACTAAAAAAGTAGAAAGGACATTGTCTCATCATGCAATCACATTTAAACTGAGTAAATTTAGCTCTGAAAAACCCACTCCTGATTGCATGCATTTGGCCTCAGCCAGCAATGGGCTTCTTCCTGCACCAGCACCTCTTCATGAGCAGGTTTTGTAAACAATGGGCTTAGATGACCCCACTGACCTCAGTGACAAGGCATCCAGGTCTCACATTCTATGGAACTATGAGGAAAGGTGAACCCTATTTTTATTTTCCCAGGTTAGGATGACTGTGTCTGAATCCCGTGGTCCTCAGAAAGGAATTAGTCTCAAGGTGAGTTGTGAACCAACCAACAGAGAAGTGAGAGATAAGACATCCCATGGTTGAAGGTGATTGGTGTGGGGAGACAGGAAAGATGGACTTTGTTCCTCTATTAGCTAGTTATTACTGGGCTAAATATAGATCAAGTTCTCCATGGAGTATAGAACAGCATGTTGCTCAAAACAACTTCTGTCTTATTGATGATATTAGTATCGCAGTGATAATGCCTTACAATAAATTTGACAACTGGGAAACAGCAAAGGGCAGAGGAATTAATATTCTGGTCTTGAACGACCAGACAGTTGTTTCAAGCGTGCATACCACAGAGCCTAACAAGTATTTGTTTAATGTCTGCTTCATCCCAGACCCACAGCTAAATGATACATCTTATCATTTAATCTCTCTGAGTTAGGAATTATCATTGTTTCTACTTTATAGAGGAGGAAACAAATGATCAGATTGGTTAACAAACTCATCAAGGTCTTACAGCTAAAAAGCATTGAGTTTCAAACCTAAGTAATTGTGGTTCAAAACTAATTTATATTACAAAGCCTTATAGAACAGTCCTAAAAAAATATTAGCCACTCAGTAAGTGTTTCTAATTTGAATTCTTGTTTAAAAACAAACTTAAAACAGCTTACTTGAAGAATTTTAATGATAATCATGTATGTTTCATGGCACTGAACTAGGAATCAAGCAATCCATATAAAGTGTGGTAACTAGTGGTACTTTTAGAGAGCTGTACTAGTCTGGATGGGCTAAGTAATGCTGCAGTAACCAAGTCCTAAATCTCATGCCTTTAACAAAACACAAAAACGTTTCCAAGCCCAGCCAGCAAGGGACTGTGCTCCTCTTAGTCACTCAGGGCCCCAGGCCCAAAGAGGTCCCATCTCAACAGGTATTCTCATGATTGCTGAGGCAAGAGAAGTGAACATCACATATGGGCTGGGCTCTAAGTGTCTTCCCAGAAGTGACACATTTCACTTCCATTCACATTTCTCTGGCCAAAGCATGTCACATGGCCATATTTCAAAGCCAGTGGGGAAGTACATCCTACCATGAACCTACAAGGAAAAAAGCTGGGGGAAAAAAAAAGCAGAAATCCCCTTCCCCACCTCCAGGCAACCACTCATCCGCTTACCACTGTCTCTACAGTCTTTTTTTCCAGAATGTACTATAAATGAACTCCTACCCTGTGTAGCCTTTTGTGTCTGGCTCTTTTGAGACTCATCCCTGTTGCACCTGCTTCGGCAGTGTGGTCCTTTTATTTGTTGAACAGTATTTCATTGTATGGTCATCCCACAACTCACCAGATGAAGCGCTTCTAGTGTATCTTTAAAGTGTTTAATCCATGAACACGTGCCTGAGCTTTGGTATCACAGAGGTTTGCAAAGGGTTCCTGTCCAGTTTTAGGTTGTGGCTGTATCTTCATCTACGATCAGCTAGTCATCAGCCTGCAGCTACTCCAGAGACTAGGTGTCCAGGACCTTCAATGTCTGTGTATTCATTCTGTTGGATGGTTCATCTGTCCACTTACTCACCCATTCTTTGTTTTAGTAAATGTCTACTAAGTGTCATGTACTGAGTATATGCTGTTTAATGGGACTGTCTTGATTCCTACCCCTATAGAGTTTATACTTTCGAGCCCATTAATGCCTTCGTGATATGGGGAGCAGGTTGGAGGAGGGGAGGGGAAATGACAAGAACACTCTGACAGCAAGCCCAAGGTCTTCAGGACCAGCTACTAGTGAATTAACATTGAAATGCTGTGTTAATCCCGCAATTGTCTTACTTTTGATGACAGGAGGGCCCTGTTGAAGAAAACCTGGTATGTTCACTTTGTGTTACGTTTCATGGCAGTTTACAGAGTGTCTTTGTAGGAACTCTGCCTTCTAATCCTCAGAACTCTGCAAGGCAGTACTTATTATTCCCACTTCACTGACTGGGACACTGAGGCTCAGAGGGCTGAGCAGACTCTTAGGTCTGACATCTAGATCTGGGGAAAGCGGCCAGGAAATCTGGTGTGTCTTATAAGAGCTGTCAGAGCCCAGGCCTTCAGACAGTGCTGTAAGTTTTTATGAGGTCAATAAAAATCAACATAGTGATTTTCATTCCTGGCATTTCTCTTGTGTCTTTCTGACCTGAAGTTCACACTGATTGGGTGGCCACATGATGCCACAGTCCCATTCTGGGGATATAAAGTTGTCCTGGTTATTCCAATAGCCAATACAGAAGGACTCTGCCCCTTACCTTTCATCACTCCTTGAACAATTGGAAAATGCATTGCTCAAGTCCTTTGAGTCTGAGCACCAGAAGACATTTTGTAGATCTTTCCTTACTGCAAATGAAATCCTGAGGTGGAGGCTCAATAGTGCTGGGTCAGAGGAACCAGGAGCACGAGCACTCGGGGCCAGCCTGTGAGTGGGTAGCAGAATGCTCTCTCACTCTAGGTCCTAAGCAAGCACCAGAGGACAGTGCTCTGGGAGACGCTGTGATATTTATAATGTCTGGCTGAGCTGGGCAGGAGAAAGAAAGGGGTCAGTACTGTGTTCCTTTAAGAGCTCAGCTGGGGCTTAATCGGTGAGCTGGGAACCCTGAGTGGGCAGGAGCTGGGTCAGGAGAGGGGAGTGGTGCCCGTCATCTCCATTCAGAGATGTTTGGTGGGCTACAACCTGATCCAATCTGCCCAAAGGTCACCTCCATGCCCCAAGCTGCCACTCTCGGCCTCTCCTAGTGTCAAGGTTCTGTCATAAAGCATCTGAGAGCCACATCCATCCCTGCTACAAAAGGCACCAAGGGAGCAATCGATTACCATATACCTAGCCAGGCAGCCACATTCACTGGCCACCAAAGGAGTGAGGTCCATGGCCCACCATCTTAAAGCCCCCCAGATTCTGTCCACCACAGAGCCCAGAGATGCATACTTCCCCTTTGCCTCCGAGACATGGAGAATTGGCAGAGCAGAGGTGGGAGGCATTCAGACCCATTTTCAGCATCTCAGTTGGATACTTATACTCTCTAGTCCACAGAAAGAGAAGTAAACAAAACCAAGTGTCATACCTAAATTAGGCTTTTTATCATTTAGGTTGACCTGTCCGTCCATCAGTCCATCCATCCATCCATCCATCTATCCATCCATCCATCCATCATCCATCCATCCATCCATCCATCCATCCATCCATCCATCATCCATCCATCATCCATCCATCATCCATCCATCATCCATCCATCATCTATCCATCCATCCATCCTCCATCCATCCATCCATCCTCCATCCATCCATCCATCCATCATCCATCCATCCATCCATCCATCCATCCATTCATCTATCCATTGCCACGCCTATTCCCTCACTGTGCTGGACACTGAGGATACAGAAATGACTCAGTTCCCGCATTTGCCATGAAAGAGGTCCCAGCCAAGGGTCCCTTTGTTTAAGTGATGCCTCATGAAAAATAACTTGTTGCACCCTAGTCTAGTTTGATTGTCATTATGAGAAAAACACAATGAAAATGAGATTGATTTTATTGCATCATTTTACTGACTAGAACGCCAGACTTATAGTGGATATAAGTATAAAAATAACCAAATTCTTACAAATAATATTTTGCTGCTACAGTACTGAATAATTAGTGGAGGTTGCAATAATAATACAACTTTAAATAACATTCTCATGATGGATTTAACACAATCAACCAGGGGCTAAGGTTTAAAGGTTTGCAAAGAGAAATCCAGGACAATGTGAAGACTCAAAAAGTTCATATTCCAGCCACATGCCTCATTTAACTGTAAATCTACAACACAAACATTAACAAAACTCACAGCAACCCATGTGAAAGATCTTTTCAAAAGAAACAGAGCAAGGTAATACAGGAAGGGCGAGCTGGGGTAGTTTCCCAAGTAGGATGGACCCAGCCTGTCCCTGTGCAGTCCCATCCTTCCTACCCACCAACTCTGCACTTGAAGTGCTTTAGACGTCTCTGAAACAAAATGATAAAACCAGAATCTAATGTGCAAATCCTTTGAAACGTCTGCTTTCAAAATGCCAAGGGGACAGAGCCAGCCTGAGATCTCTTTTCAGATCTCATCTGCCCCCTTCGGTTTCATGGGTTTTTCCGTGAGCACTTTACGCCAAAAGAATGGATTATAACACTATTGAAAAGATACCCTAGCACATCAAATTAATTGGCCCTTAATACTTTAATGTTCCTAGTATTTTAACCAGTTTTTTCCTCTGGGGATTCAAGAAAAGAAAAAGAACGCATACTCAAAAGCCAACACTATGAAAAGGGAAATGTTTCCAAAAACACACACAAGAACCCCAGAGTGACACTTTGTCAAGAAGGACAGGAAATGTGCCTTCTAATTCCCACAAAAGTTTTCACCTAGAGAAAATATCTCTGAGGCTAAGGACAGTTTTAAATAAGATACGAAATCCTGAACTTTGCATTCTTCCTCTCTCAAAGAAGTGCTCTAGTTTCAAAATTGGTGTAAGTAAGTATCTTAGAACCATGGGTCAAAACCCTGCTTTGGGGTGTGCTGGGCTAAACTAAACCGGAGCAGCTGGACAGTACAACCCTACCTGCTCTAGCAAAGTTCGCAGAGTTACAGGGCACCAGGGCACTTCACCAGTGGGCAAGATGGCTTAACAGAGGCCCCAAAACACCACACGCGAGGGATGAGCCTAATGGGTCTACTCTAGGTGCTTTCATACCTGAATAAGTATCATCCTTCACAGACATTTCCTTGGACAGCTACCCAGCCTTGCACTGCAAAGATGCTGCCCTCCTGTTTGAACCAACTTTAAAATCACCTCCTCAAGAACTTCATAATCATCTCCTCTTACTTTTGGCCTCACATGCTATCAGCCAGCTTGATACACTATTCATTCAGCACCTTTGGCTCTCAATGACTTAGCTGCTTCTGAAAATAAACTTTTGTCAAAGCAGAAAGATTTGTCAACATTCAGGACATTCAACTGAATATGTTCCCAACTCTGAAAATGTGCCCAGCAATACACTTCCAACATGTGGCAAACACGACGTCACACATCGGGAACCAGGCAAAGCAGCTGTGGACGTGTGAGCCTGGCTGTGTTGGTCATAACACAGGTCAGCACCTTGCACCCGCTATACCCAAAGCACCAAACCAGCACGCTTCCGGCTAAGCACAAGCCAGCCACTATTTGCTTCATGATGGCCACAGGTGTCCAAGAAGTACATGTAAAAACAAACCTGTAAGAGCTTTTTCAAAAGGGGATTCAACACTTTTTTTTGGCACTTCATGTCATTAGTTTAGTTACTGCTTAATAATATTAGGGTTTTTTTTTTTTAAAGAAAACATATTTCAGCTCACTCTGTCATGCCCTCTTTGACATTTAAAGTACCCTGGACGGTGAGGCATCTGCCAGGAAGATGAGGCAGGAGGTACAGTGGGCAGAGCAAGCTAGGCAGAAGGGTTCAAATCCTGGCTCTCTGAGGCAAGATACTGATCCTCCCTGAAGGTTCCCCTGTCTCAGAAATGGGCACATTCATGCCCTCCTCTCAAGTATGGGGAGGCCAAGGACCCTGCAGAGGCTGGCCATGGGAGGAACATGAGATGCTAGTTGTGACTCTTTGAACTCCCTAAATTGTCTCCAGCGCCCCCGGCTGTCTCATGGAGCAAGGAGAAGACACGAGAAATAAGACCCCCTGGAGCTTACACAGCACCCCCGGGAGCTGGGAGGCCAGCAGGCGATGACTGCCCTGCTCTGAGTCCCCATGCTCCATCCGGCATGCTGCAGGACATTCGCCTGGCTTTTCCCTACAGAAGTGGTCGCGGGGATGGTTTACTGGCACTGCCGTCCTCCCACCTCACCCTGCTGCAGGCCCGGCTGTAGGACTGCGGCATTTCTGTGCATGGATCATACGTTCCAGGGTTGGAGCCAAAGGCTCGGCTTGCCGGTGGCTCCCTGCCCCTGCCTTCAGTCCAGAGGCTGCTGCCGCCCCAGCTATTTCCTGCTGGCCCAGGCAAGGTGCCTTGGGGGCTGTAGTCCCAAAGTGAAGCTGCCTCTCCCTTCCTCACCAGGTTGGGCACCTGCCACCGGGCAACAGTCATGTTTTCCTCAGGCCTCTTTGCCCCTCAGGCTCTAGAGATACATGTCCCCCACCTGCAGATCCTCCGGGAAATTGCAGATTCTATGTGAACACAACGGTGCAGGGGGCCCCCTTTTTTAAAAGTGAAAGAAAAACAACATTCTATATCCACTTGAGAACCACAAAACTCATTCACAGGAAAGCATTCTTGGAACCCAAAGGACACTCTTCTCTGGACTTTGGGATTTTTCTCAAGAATGCTTATGGGACAGAGCACTTCCCTGAGGAGCTTGTGGCTTCTGGCCCTGATGCAGGAGATGATTTATCATCTTTGAAGGCAGCTGAAGGTGGCAGATGAGCATGCCTGGGAATAGCACCCCAGCATGGCTCTGCGTCCTGGGGACAAGCACGGCTCTGCATCAGGAGCCAGGAAGCAAGGCCACCTCACAGGGAGCCCAGCGTGTTGGCTCAGGTGAGCCGAGTGCAGGCGCTTGGGGCTCTCCAGTTAGATGCAAGGCCACGAGGCACAAAGGCTTGGGTTCCACAGAGAGATGCAAGACCCCAAATTTCAAAAAGATGATGCTCTGAAATTTTAGGCTGACACCCACTGACAAAAACAGAATTCTTTCTGTATCTACCTCAGGAGATGAGTGCATTCTGCCTACTAAGAGGCATTACACCTGACTTGAGCTCCTGCTGAAGCAGGGTGAGGTGACTCCTGGACACCCTGGGACACAGGAGTTTGCACTTAGAACTGTAAGGACCTTAGACACATAAGAATAAGGATTAGACACATTCTGAAGCGATTAGAGGGCCCTGAAGAAAATGCCCAGGACAGAACTGTCCCCCAAAGCTGCACCTTTTCCAGAAACGTAGGTGCCATTGAGCCCCAAGCTCCAGGGTGGGAACAGTCCCACCTGTGTTCTCCTCATGTGATCCCAAACCAGGATGTTTCAAAAGCAGGTGATGAGAATGATCACAGTTCCATGAGCAGGTAAAGACACTGAGCACTGGAGATGTCCTCCCCGCAGGACCCATCACAGGCATAATAAATAAGACGTGTGGCATTTCCTTCCGAAGGCAAACTCCCAGCTCCCTCCCTGGCCAGAAGTCTTCAGTTCCCCAATCCTGACTGAAACTATCCCCACATTTCTGGAGGAGGCTGTGGAGCAGTAGGAGGAACAAATGACTGGATGAGAGAAAAGAAGTTATTCCTCCAGTGAATAAACTGCTTTGAGGGGTGGATTGAAAGTTTACACTGAGTTTGAGGATGAGGTCAGGGATACAGTCAAAGATGCTGCCCTAGTAGGTAAGCAGACTCAGGTATGGCTCCCCCCCAGCCCCACGGTCTTCCTCAGGAACCCGCCCAGCTTCTCAAAGCGCTCGTGTTTCAGGAGGCTGAACCTACCTGTTCAGCCAGCAACTCTGCCACATTCTGCTTGGGGGCTATAGTCACGCTGCCTTTCTTCTAGTGGTAAAATACCAGCTCAGACACAGTCTGCAACCTGCTCCCTGTTTCTACTCTATACTCAGCAGCCTCGGCCTCAAAGACACAGGTCAGAGTTCTAGGACCAGACCACGGTCTCAGGGGTGAAACCCACTGCCCATAGGTGGCTCTGTAAATCTTCCTCCGGGGCCTTGTCCTGCATCCCTGCTGGTGGCTGCCTGCTGGGCCTCACTAAGGGCAGCAGCCTGATGTTTTTAATTAAAACCCAATGTTAGTTATTTTACCCTGATCCAGGCTTATTTGAAAAAGTGAGATTTAACTGCAAAAGGGAAAAATAATCTTAAATAAATGTGTCACCTTGACTCCAAAACAAACTGCAGTTGTGTGCTGTGCCTCACAAATTTCAATTCTTCATTTTGGGGGTTGGCTTGGAAACTGTAGACCTAGAAATAGATTAAAATACTGTACATTAACTACAGCATCTCCAAGCCTTAGTGGTATGTTCATCATCCTCAGTGTCTGTTTAGCACATAGGTATTGGGCAGAAAAACTAAAGAGCTGGTATTTTCCTGTAAATGTATCGCCAAATTGAGGCCTGTGGAAGTGGCTGAGGAAGAAGCCCCCTTTCTGGAACAGTCTTGAAAAGAATCCAAAAGGAGACTGCCTACCTCCCCAATTTACTAAAGTGCAAACTAAGGAAAACCTGGGTCCTTGTAGTGATGCCCAATGACCTGGCCTAGCAGGCGGCAGGGCCAGGCTGCCACCACTCAGAGACTCTCCCGGCCCTGGCCCATGCTCACATTCACAGTAACAGCAAAGGGGCTGACCGAGCAGCCTGCAGTTCCACGCTCACAGGTTCCATCTGTCCCCTTCCACTGTGGTCACAACCCTCACGCCTGCCCCACTTTCTGCTTGCCACTCAGCTGTGGCTCTACAAGTCCTGGGGGCAGCCAGTGTGCGGTGCCCCCCTCTGGCGCTGCCCTGAGCCACTGAGGTCCTGGGTAACTCGCTCAGAGCAGTGGGCCCCTCTCTCTTCAGCACTTTAAAAATAGTCTCTCCTCCTACTCTCATCACTGATGAAAGATGGGTTATACTGTCCAGGGAAAATGCAAGAATGCCGTGATCCCGGCAATCCAGTGTAGGCTGGGTAGAGTCCATTTCGTTCAAGTTCAGGATTCCTTACACCTGTGGGCTGGTGGCCAAAGAGAAAAGAAAAAAAGTCAGTTTATCATTCATGGGATTAATTTAATAGTTTTTTTTTAAATGCTACATGTTAACAAACCTAAGATGTGAGCAGTTATCCATAGCACAGAACAAGGTCTGACCTAGACAGGACCTCACAGAACATGTCTTTATGGAAACTGGGATCTTCAGACATATTTTAAGAGGGGATTTAAAAAATACTAATCAAGGGCGGTCCAGTGATTTTAGACCAACATAGGAAAAGACCTGGGTTAATTATCTTGATTATTATCAAAACTAATCACTATCTGATTATTATCTTGACTTTTTTAAAAAGTGCCTTTCTCTGTGGAGCACAACAGCTTTAAATCCTCTCTGGCATTTAGCAGAATGCTACTAGCCCAGCCATGAATAGTTAGCACCCCAAAGCAGGAGGCCAACTGGGATTCTCAAGTCCCTCTGATTGGATCCCAACTTAGTGGGTTGGGACAACCTATCTGATACGCAAGACACTTCCAGGAATGGCAGGGCTACTTTGAAGAGCCCCTCAGTCAGCACCCCCAGGGGAAATGCTTGCCTGGCAGAAATGAAACACTAGATACTGCATATAATAAAAGCAATTCGGGAGAGCTCGGTGGACACCTGAGAGCACTGACGGACCGCGCTCTCACTCAGGGGACAGGTTCAGGCCCTAAGCTTAGGCTTTGCTTGGACAGACTGCTCAGCCTAATTTTGAGATGAAGATGGGGTTCATTTAAGTTCTTGGCTCTGTCTGTTTAAGGCAACTGTCTAGTGAACACCATGGAAAACTGCAGCAAAGCTAGGTCCCAGGACCCACAGGCCTGTTTGTTCCTATGTTAGCTCACACACTGGGATTGAGGAGGCTCCAGCAAAGGGTGTGAGCATGTGGCCACACCTGGGTAAGATACCTGCTTGGTGATGGCTGCAGTTAGAGGAAAAGGACTTTCCGGACAAACAGAGCAAAGCCAAGCCCTTGGCAGAAGTACCAACAGAAATGTTTGAACTAGGGCTAAGTTTATGTCTGTGCTCATCTTTCCCCTTATTTTTTCTCGTTCTTCCTCCAGGTTCAAAATTTTCAGAGTCCACTGAAACAACAGCCTCCTTAACTAGGAACCAACCTGCCCCTCCCATCCAAAGTCTGAACCTCATGGTTAATCCCCTAGCAACCAGAAGGGCTGTGGCTTCCGTCACAGGGTTGCCTAGTGCTACGAAGTCCCCACAGGGCAAGGTTTCATTCTTATTGCTGTAACCTCAAACAGCTCCATACAGCATGAGAAGTCACCTGTATCCTTTACACTGCAGCTCAGATATCCCCATATGTGTCTGCTTTGTGGCTGATGCCATGTAATGTGAAATGAACTGGTGGTGCATGAGAATAAGACGTGGGTTACACAATGCTGGGGCAGAAGGAACAAGAGTTCAAGATAGTCTCCCATCTTTCCAAATGCTGCAATCCAGAGCTGGACACAGCAAATTATTAAAGACCTACTGAGTATATATAATCTTCTAAGACCCTGAGAAGTGCTTGCTGAGGATGCCATCGAATCGTTCTCTTTATATCTTTTTTCAGTCCCCAGTTTTAACTACCCAACCATATGAGGTAAAGTGTGGCAGACAAGATGAAAACAAAAAGGCCAAAGGCTAAATATCACCAAGCTCTTTATCAGTTTCCAACCTTATGACTTAAAAGCAAGTTCAATAACAAGAGGGTTATTGCTACAACCCCGTAAAAGTAAAGTGCTCTGTGGAAATATCCTTCATATCTCAATGTCAAGACTAATAAATCCCATGCAAATAGATTGTAAGTAAAACATAAAAGGAATACTGAATTATGTAAATAAAAGGCTGATGCCACTGTTCTCTTTAACCCTTAACTGAGTCTAGTGCTTTTACTACAACAAAACAGAATCCCTTTACTTCTCGGAGGAAATCAGAGCCTTAGGTTGCCCTGTGCAGGCGATACACACCAAGTAACACACATCTGTCATCTGGAGGAGGTTTTTGGTACTTCCATTCTCATGCATTTCAATAGCTTCTCGGCCCCATTCTTGTGAGCGAGGGTTCTTGGGATACTCAGCATATGGGGACATTTGGAAATCCCCACTTTTGAAGATGAGTTTGCTTATGTCATTTTTATTCTTTCTGAGGGGGGGTAAAAATATTTGAAAATTTAAATTAGTAAGTTCTGTAAAGAAATGACATCTGTGAAAGCACTATCTATAATTTTACAAGGTGAATTTGACCCAAAACTACCATTATATCTCTTTGTACCTGTCCACCGAGGAATGTTATTATTGTTACTGTTTTTAGCATTTGACTAAAACAAGCAAGAATGCAGTTACAGTTAGCCGTTGAACAACACAGGGCTTGGGGTGCTGACCCGCCCCAACACAGCTGAAAATCTACGTGTGACTTCTGAGTCTCCAAAAGCTTATATGTATGATATACTGTATACTTACAATAAAGTAAGCTAGAGAAAAGAAAATGTTAAGAAAATCATAAGGAAAATACATTTACAGTACTGTATTGTATTTATTGAAAAAATCTACGTATAAGTGGACCTGTGCATTTGAAACCCATGTTGTTCAAGGCTCAATTGTAGAGGCAAAAAAGGTGCAAAAAACCCTTCCAAACCAAAGGGACAAGTTGGCAGGGGCGGAGAGAACGAAGACAGCTGCAAAGAAGCAGGCTTAGCTTTTCTGGGGGACAGAGAAAGCTGCATTTAGGGGGTGGCCGGGGAGATGAATCATACATTCCCAGAATGCTGGAGCTGGAAGGGCCTTTAAGGATTCTTCCATCCAGTGGTTCCAAACCTGCCTGAGCATCAGAATTTACATAGAAGCTTCTATGTCTCACTTAGATTTACTAGAATAGGCGCTCTAGGGATGGGACATCTCTGGCTTGGCAAAGAGAAGTGAATCATTCTCCAGGTCACATTTTGCTACTAGCAAAGCTGGGACTAGAATTCAGGCCTCCCAACTCCCCAGTCAGTGCTCTTTACCACATGAAGGTACTTGAAAAACATAAAAAGAGGGTTTGTTTGAGAAAATACTCACCTTTTTTATGTTTATATACTTCTACATATTCTCATTTCAGCACATAAGGGAAAACCCTAGGATAAGTTCCCTAAGTGTGAGTTTAGTGACTGAGAATCGTAGGTATATGTGTTACCTATTTAACAGGCAGAGGATCAGACATTCTTAGTTATATTTGTCCTGGATAAGAGAGGTTTCTTCCTTGTACCTCACTTTCCTATAAATAAACTTTCTGGGGAAGGCATGAAATAACCCAGGGCCATAAAACCAAATGTCCATCATGTGACATAGGCGTTGCCCTTTCTTGCAAGTTCAGAACAGATCTGCCACTGTGTTGTTCCCTGGAGGGTGGGGCATCCGGTCTCAAACAATGACTTGGCGAAGTTGTAGTTCCCTTCCTCCGCAGGCTCCTTTCCCCAGCGGCCACACCACTTGGTACGGGACATTTAGGGAACGAGAGGCCTCTGGCCCCTGGAGCACTCAGGTTTTACCTTTATAGCTCCTAGTCTCATGCCCAGAATTTTTTATTTACACTCACACAGTTTATCTTTAGTGATTTGGTGACAATTTTATAAATGTTAGGTGAAGGCTGCATTCAAGGCCTGCATTTCCAAATGGGCACTGGGGGCAAATTGCTCCCTGCAGCCTTCCTGGGGATAAAGGATATCTTAGAGTGCCCTTCATGTCAATGATTGAAAAGACAACCTGCTATTTTGGTAGGTTCCTTGCATCTGTTATGTCAGTATAATTCCTGCTGTTTATTATCATCTAAATCAAAGATCATAATTTTCCCTTATCTGAGTAGATAACCAGAGAGAAGGAGACCAACTCCTTCCTTTCTCTTCCTTCTTAAGTGGAAACCCATCCCACTAGCTTCCAGGAAGCCCAGAGCCAGGTATACTGAATATCTGTTCATCCCACTTGCCAGCTACTCCTCTACTGCTAAAATTATTTCAGGTAGCCCCTTTCAAATATGTTTCTTAATTTGTCCATTTAAAATGTACAAGCCAATGGCTTTTAGTGTTCTCAGAGTTGTGTAGTTATCATCAACAATCAATTTTTGAGCAGTTTCAGCACCCCGAAAAGAAACCCCTTGGTCATTCTCTCCCCTGCCCACCAGCTTCAGACAACCACTAGTCTACTTTCTATCTCTATGCATTTGCCTATTTTGGACATTTCATACAAATGGAGTCATTCAATAAGCAGTCTTTTAGCATAATGTTCTCGAGGTTCATGCATTCACAGCATGTATCAGTATTTCATGCCTTTTTATAGCTGAATACTATACCTTTGCATGGATACATCATATTTTGTTTATCTATTCATCAGTTGATGGATATTGGGGTTATTTCCACCTTTTGGCTATTATGAATAATGCTACCATGAACATTCATGTATCTGTTTCTGTGTGGACATACATTTTCATGTCTCTTGACATACACCTATGAGTTGAAACACTGGGTCAGATGGCAACTCTGTGTTTAACTTTCTGAGGAACTGCCAGGTTTTTTCAAAGTGGCTGGACCATTTTACATTTACACCAGCATGTATGAGTCCTCTGATCACCTGCGTCCCCACCAACACTTGTTATTTCCTGTTTTTGTTTTTAAGAGTTGTCTTAGTGGGTGCAAAGTTATATCTCATGGCGGTTTTGATTGCATTTCCCTGATGGCTAATGATGTTGAGCATCCTTTCCTGTGCCTACTGGCCATTTGTATATCTTCTCTGGAGAAATGCTTATTGAGGTTCTTTGCCTATTTTTTAATTGGGCTGCCTTTTTCTTGTTGAGTTATAATAATCCCTTATATAGTCTGATACACATCCTTTGTTAGACACATGCTTTGCCAATACGTTCTCCCATTCTGTGGGTTGTCTTTTCACTTCCGTGATAGTGTTCTTTGATGCAGGGCAGCTTTAAATTCTGATAAAACCCAGTCGCTCTCCCTTTGGTTTCTTGTGCTTTTGGATATTCTTTTTTAGCAGAGAAAATCAAGTCCTATTTGCTGTCCTTTTCTTTCCCCAATGGTGCACCCTATCATGAATTTCCCTTTCCTTTTTTGAAGAGTCCAGTCATACGTTATGACTCAACACAGTCACCCACCCTCCAACACATTCTTTGGAGGGTAAACGCTGACCCTTGCTCAGTACGGGCAGTGCGACCAGATGAGGACGTGAACTCCCATTACTCACCGGCAGCAGGTAACAATTAGAGCAACGCCCAGCACCAGCAGCAGTCCGCCTCCGGCCGCAGCGATCACCACGGTGATGAGCTGATAGGCTAATGGATGAGAAAAGGATAAAAGTGGACAGGTAAACGGTAATGAATAAATAAACGAATACAAGGGCTGGGCACCCTCCCACTCCACAGAACCACTGTGCCTCAGTGGGGGGTCTCGCCTTTCACGTCCTGGGCCCCCGGCACAGGCTTCCGGGGGCTAGCTGTCCCTATTCTCTGTTGAAGGAGGGCAGAATACGCGACCCCAAAATATTCCTCTTTGGCATGTTTATTATTTTAACCTGATTTGTTTCTGAGAAACTGCAGACAGAAGAAACTCTGAAAACAGAGCGGAAGTTACCCTGCTGTAAGGGAGATTTCCATTAGAAAGGGGGCCTGGACCTACAAGAGAGCTGTACCAAAGGTCACTGAAAACTGACCAGCAGGACAGGTCAGCCTTCCCTTACTAAACACGTCCGCCTCTCCTGCCCACCAACTGCCTTCCCCACTCTGAGCCCCAGACCCCTCTCGCTTCCTTAGCTCATAAGGGAATATAAACCTCAGTTATGTGGCCACCTTTTTTTTTTTTTTTTT